CACACACACAATGCATCCCTATACATACACAGAAACACAACATGCTTCCCTTACACACAGAGAAACACACAATGCATCCATTACACACACACACACACAATGCAACCCTTACACACAAAGACAATGCATCCTTTGCAGACATACACAGAAACAGACAATGCAAACCCGTACACACGCATGCAAACACACACTTCTTTTCTTACATACACACAGAAACACAATGCATCTCATGCACACACATGCAGACACACACCTTGCATCCCTTATGCATACAAACACAGATTCACACAATGCATCCCTTACACACACAACCAGAAACACATAATACATCCCTTATACACAAATACACACTGCTTCCACTACACACAAACACACTGCATCACCTGCACAAACTGGTAACCCTAAACACTACATACCATAAGCACACATATTAGATCCTCTACAATAACACATCCCCTACACACTCCACTCCCTATGAGCGAACTCATAGGTGGGTGGAACTTATGAGTGGGCCTTATGGGCATACTCACCGTCAGGCCCTGGGGCCCAGACCTTGAGCTGTGTAAGGGGCCCCCAAAAAATTGAGCTGCTTCCAATTCTCCCAGAACATTGAATTTTGTGACCACAGTTGCAAACAGCCTCCAGAGATCCTGTTCTACACCAGACCAGTGGAGCCAAACTGCAGCCATCATCATCCTCATCTGCTTGTAAGTAGGCAATCTAGTATATTATTAGTGACACTAATCTATAATTTACCTCACATTAAAGGGACACTATAGCTTAATGAAGTGGTTCTGGTGTCTATAGCTGGTCCCTGCAGGCTTTTTAATGTAAACACACTGTGTGCAGCACTGGCGTTAGTTCATATGGCAGATCATATGGGTGGGGCATTGTGATGTGACATGTGGGGGCAGCAAATTTTTATTTTGTCTAGGGCGGCAAAAATCCTTGCACCTTCTCTGATCCTGGGCAGGTGCACCAGTCTACTTGACTGGTTTGCCCCCCAGGCCTAAGGCTGCCAGCCCTCCCCTGGCCGCTGGGGAGGTCTTTTGGCGGCCGCTGGCGGACTTGCCCTGGCGGCCGCTGAGGGAGCTGCGCGAGCTGCGCTGGCTCTGCTCCCCAGCACGCAGCTGAATGAGACCGGCACCGGAATATGACGTCATATTCCGGCGCCAGTCTCATTCAGCAGCGCGCGAGGGCGGGAGGGCACTAACACAGGAAGCACCTCTAGTGACCGTCTGAGTGACTGTCACTAGCAGTGTTACTTTGAAGCAATGTAAACACTGCCTTTTGTCTGAAAAGTCAGTGTTTACATTGAAAAGCCTGTAGGGACATGCTATAGACACCAGTACCACCACATTAAGCTGTGTGTGTGCGTCTGCTAGTGAGTGAGCTTGCTTGCATGCGTGTGCCTGCTAGTGAGTGAGCTTGCTTGCATGCGTGTGCCTGCTAGTGAGTGAGCTTGTGTTTTTATGTCAATGAGCTGATGTATATCAGTAAGATTGTTTGTCTATGAGGCTGTGTATCAATGAGCTTGTATGTGTCACTGAAATGTCAGTGAAATTGCCTGTGTCTGCATGTGCGTATGCTTACTGTATAATTAAACGTTTTACCCTGAAAGGACCAATATTTTATATTAGAAAAGGCAATATATATATATATATATTACTCAATCATCTGTCCTGGCAAGACATAGCCTTACATATTACACGCGACAATATATGGCGCCGTGACTTATGGGGCTGGCACAAATTTTTTTTCCAGGGCTGCTTTGTATCCCCAGTCCGGCCCTGTGTATAATGTAATAACAGGACTGTACTAACCAGGGAATTGTGGTTCCATTCTCACCCATGAATGCACAGTATTTTATGAAAATTGTCCAGCAGACCAGATTCTGTTTAGGGTCATAAGACTCCTTGGACACCGCACTGTGGGATATGTTGACACTCTATAAATGTTAATAAGAATACACGTAGCGCATATATTCCATTTACATATACGGGATTGCCATATATGAGGGAAAGCTGTGTTTAGTAGAAACATCCCTATTTTGTGGACTTTTAGGCGTGTTCGAGGGGCTCAATGGCCTAACTTCTTCCTGTTGATATTTGCCCTTAGGCAACACATATTATAGCTGGTCCTAAGAATTTATCCCACTGCAAACTTTGATGTTGGTTAGTTCAATATCTTTCATGCACTCTTTCCTTTACAAATAAACCCAGCACTTCCTGATGACCATCCTAACACAATTGAATTCATCACTGACCCTGATTTGAATTCATCTGGGTGATTATTGCAGCTTTGTATTTGGCTTTAGTAAATATGAGAATTGGCAATTTTCACCGGATTTTGGCCATCCGGACAAAGTAGGGGTTAAAGTGAATAACCCTGTAAATCATCATTAAATGAGAATCTAATTGCAAAACTGGCTACAGCAGCTGAACTGAAATCCTTCCAAATTAGCTGTTTTGAAATTCAGTTTTCATGTCAGTACACTCTTTAGTAAATAAATCTTTGTTTATAAAAATGTTTAAAACAATAAACCTCTAAATTCAATTGTATTTTTAATTTTGTAGAAAGCATTGTAAAAGGCCGTTGTGCACTATAGATACAATGGAGCTGTCAAGACATTTGAGTTCTACACGCAAGAGAGGCAGTATAACTTGTCTTAGAATCCATGTTTTGGAGACACTTCCCCCTCACAGCACCATGACTTGTGGTCTCCGTGCAAATGGCCGCCTTGGAAAATGTCCACGCCTACTAGCGACGGCCAGCGTGGGCAGGAAGTTGTTTAACCAATAGCGCCAAAAGGAGAGGGTGTCACTGGGTTGTGAGGAATAGGTGAATGCGAACCAATCAAATGACGCATAGATGCGAGGGGCGGAGCTTGGAGAATTCTATTTTTCCCGCGAGTTGTGAAGAGCGGATAGTGGGCCAGCATGGTGAGTTGGTGCCCTGGTTACCAATATGCAAACACAACCCCAGGCAGTCCTGAAACTGCCGCTTTATTTCTGTTATTTACCAATCTGACTCTCAAATTCATTATGTATAGATCAAATTAACGTTCTCATTGTTATATGCTCAGATTTTTATTATTTTAAACGGTTTTAAATGTTGAAATAAAGATTGTGTAGACCCTCAGAACATATTCTTTATCTTTTGCCTTAGTTGCATAATGAATTTGTGTAAAGGAACAGTCCAGGCACCATCTTCCCCCAGTGGTTATGGTGCTAGGAGTGCCCGGGTGCACCACCATTGTAAGGAGTCACTTGCTGAGTGGTTTGACTTCATTCTTGAAGAACCACCAGATGCTACTATCCCGCAATGCAGAGTTTGGTTCCTTGGCTGACTTACTCCTTAGAATGGGAGGTGGAGCTGCGGTTGTTATGGTGCCTGGAGTGATATTTTAAAATTACTGCATATCTGCTCTAGTTCAGCAACTGGAATTGTAGTTTTACTGTAACCACCATGACCACTCTTCTTACACATTTTTTATAAACAAAGATTTATTTACTAAAGAGTGTACTGACATGAAAACTGAATTTCAAAACAGCTAATTTGGAAGGATTTCAGTTCAGCTGCTGTAGCCAGTTTTGCAATTAGATTCTCATTTAATGATTTACAGAGTTATTCACTTTAACCCCTTAAGGACACAGCTTCAGAAGCTTGTCTTACGCTTAAAGGACCACTCTAGGCACCCAGACCACTTCAGCTTAATGAAGTGGTCTGGGTGCCAGGTCCATCTAGGATTAACCCTTTTTTTTTTTTTTTAAACATAGCAGTTTCAGAGAAACTGCCATGTTTATAAATAGGTTAATCAAGCCTCTAGTGGCTGTCTCATTGACAGCCGCTAGAGGCGCTTGTGTGATTCTCACTGTGAAAATCACAGTGAGAAGACGCCAGCGTCCATAGGAAAGCATTGTAAATGCTTTTCTATG